GGATTTTCTCTGTTTCTTTTACTCCTTTTGTGGACAAAGTTATAGATCTTATTCAAATTCAAATATGGAGATGCTAGAAACAAATCATGATCATCGGCATATTATTGAAACCGTATGTTCACAGAAACTATACACAGAGCAGCAAAGCATACCAGGCACAAAGTAAATAAAAAAAATTTACCAGCATGATCAGTTTCAATTATTCATAAAAACAAGCAAATTCCTTAACAAGAACGTGATCAGCAAACATCAATCATTTTTTTTTTTTTTTAATTTTGAGGAGTAACGCGTAAGTCGTGATGGGAGATATATATAGAGTGGATTAAGATGGGAGGTTGTGGAGATTAGATTTTTCTTGGTTGATGTTTGGTTGAAGAGCACGCATTGGAGCTAATTTTGCTAATTTTTGCGTAATTAGGAGGTTAACCAACCTTTCAACCTGCACTGGCAATGCTTTATTTGTACTGTTGGTCAACGCGCCAATTGGTGCATCTTTTAATGGGGCATTATCGTGGCATATATCGCATAAGACTAGGCTCTCTTTATGTAGTATCAAAGCCACGTGGTATAATTTATTTGGAGTTATGAACATGATATAAGTCGTGATAGTAATGAATTGCGACAGCCTGCAGCCTAGAGTGCTAAAATACTAATGAATAGTTGAGGTGCAGACGGAGATTATGTGGAGATAATATTCCCAGCCGAAACCATGGTAGGAATATCTAAATTTATGTAACATACTCTGTTTTTTAGTAAGTGCGCACGTTACACCTTGAAAATTAAAATAGACTAATAAAAGTCCAAAACTCTAATTTAAGCGCTCCAAACCTTCGTTTACGCCCCCTGCCAGCTCAGGGCCCAAGCGCAAAGCTTCGGCCCAAATTGCATACTCGGCAAGTCCTTGCATTTGGTTGGGTTTAGTGAGAACCCCTTCAGTAGTGGAGAGAGTTAACATCATAATTAGGACTGATAATGATCTAATGGTTAGCAAAGGGTTTTGCTAACCATGGATCATAGGACAATAGTTAAGGAGGGGAGTGATAATAAACGGAGAAAATAATAAGTGAGTCTCTCTCTCTCTCTCTCTCTCTTCCTTAATTTGGGCTAGCAAAACCCACTAACAAATTGTTACTTAATTATTTGTGAAACTATTCAATCATATTTAATTTGATAGTTCATTAATTTAACAATACCCAGCAACTAGTTTTTAACATTCAATGCATGAAGGGAGGGAATTTAAACATGCATGATAATCAGAGGGTTTTCCCCCTAGAAACCACCTTAAAATTAGGATAATTATACGAAAATCACCTTTCACTTTTAATTTATTCATAAATCACCATTAGAGTAGGTTTTAGTTGTAATCAACCACCTCCTATTCGAATTTTCGCTAAAAACTAAAAATAAGCTTAAAAAGTTTAACAAGACCTAAATACTAAAAATGTGCCACGTACCTTAAACGCGAGTTTTTTAAGGGTAATTTTTAGTATAGTGAAAATTGTGATTGAAAAACCAAGTTTAAAAATGTATATTATGTATAAATTGAAAATAAAAGATGGTTTTCATATAATTATCCAATTTTTAAGGTGATTTCTAGAAGAAACAACCCATCAAATATTTGTTAAAATTTTGACCCCTTATAACGTTTATATTACTACACATGCATGATACATGTTCTTGATCAACTTATATTCTTTTACTTCAATTCTAATTTTGGGAGTCTTAAAAGAGGCCCCCGATTTTTTAAAGCAAATAATCAAATTAAATATTTACATCATAATTATAGAGGGGTAATTTTCAATAATGAATTTAGCTGTTATTTTTTTAACAGAAGAAAACTATCTTCTTATTTAACTAGTTTGTTCATAAATTATAAATAAGTAATCAAATAAATATACTTTACTATTTGGGTAAAAAAATCAGTGAATATTTAGTTTGTACTCGAATTAAAAGTCGAAGATATCGAAAATAGTATATTCAGATTCAAAGGTTCTTACGCCTTGATTGGTACACACAAACCAAGCCAAGTAAAAATAAAAGAAAGCAAGAAATGAAATGGAAATAAATATGGTAAAATGTGGTAAATAAATGCTCATTCTCATTCTCATGGTTAGATATTATTAGAAAACTAAGTTATTTAGGTTTTTAACTTTTTGATTTGTTTGGTACGCAGAAATCAAATCAAGTGAGAATGAAATAAAATAAGAAGTGAAATGAAATAAATGTGGAAATAAAATTTTCATTCCCTCACTCACATTTTGGTGAAATTATAGGAGAAAGTGAGGAGAAAGTGAGAACGACAATCTTTTTTATCTTTGACGAAGGCAACAATATTGAAAATAACACAGTTTTCTTCTGTCTCGCCACAATACCGTGTTATTTGCTTCTAAAAAGATCTCACCTTTCGTATGCGTAAATGAAGAGGCTCATTCCCACCCATTCTTGCATAACAAACAACACCAAAATGAATATTCTATTCCATCTCATTCCTACGGTACGAAAGAAGGCATGGCACGTGATTGAAATCGTGAGCGCACAAATATGGAATCATCCATCTTTCACCATATCCTGGTTAGACAAAGCACACATTTGAGCTGAATGGATGAATCACACTCTAACCACCATTTTCATGAAATTTAACAACCAAAAAACCACCATCTTTAATGACGCTTTAAACAACAATTTTCAATAGAACTGTTTTTGAATAAAAGAAAGTATACAACTAGCAACGTTCATTTTATTAGTCTAAGAACAGTTAACTGGAAGGTGTAGACGGCGATCAGGAAAAAAAAAAAATGGAAGCTGTAGACACCCTGTGGAGTGACTAAAACATTGCCTCACCTCATCATTCACCAATTATTCTGTGACAATCGGATATATAGGAAAATAAATTCAATAATTTTATCGAGCTTAAAAATATTAAATTTTGGAGACTGCCTTCCAGAGCAGTTTCAATGTGTGCATGACCATTAACACCTCGACAACAAAATATTATATTTGGTAGCGTTCGGCAAACTTCAGATTACAAAAATAGAGTGGCGTTTGGCAAATAATTGGATCAGGACTAAACCAAGTTCTCTTGGACCAATTTTTGGCCAATAATACCGCACAGACCTGTGTCTCTAGTTCTCAGTACTGTCTTTATTGTGCTGTCGAGGTGACTTATTATTATTATTCCTCCCCCGCCCCCTCCTCTTAAAACTAAGATCATATCAAATACGGTTTCGCGCAGTGAGATATGGTTTTGTAGTGAAATATCTGTATCCATATCTGAAATATCCGAATACATATTAGTGATACTCTTACAATAGTTTCGATTCTTAAATTATGGATTCGTGATTAATTTTAATGATCAAGATATCTAATCTTAACTTTTTAATTATAATGAACATATTAACGAACTCTTTTGTATCACATGAACTATATTTTTCTCCATACTATCTAGTTTTCTCATATCCGTTTTGTACCCGCATATATATCCGCTCATATATCCACATGTATATTCGTAATCGTATCTGATTTTAACGGATATGATTATATTTGTATTTGTATCCAAGATGGGTAAGCGGATATAAATATAATAAGCATCGTACCCCAGCCCTATCGGACAGAGTGCACCCCTCCCTACTTGCAGCCCTTCTAATGACTAGATAATAGATATCCTGTATGTTGCGTGAAACCAGTCTCAAGACACTATCTTAAAATAGAGTTTTAGCTATTACTGTTGGCAAACAGAGAAAATATAACTGAACCAAAAATTAAAAAAAACTTCCATAACCGCAAAGAACTAGCTAGTACACAGGAGTATCATATATCCAGGCTAGTTTATAAACCTGAATATATCAGTCAAATTAACAATAACTCAGATCAAATAACACGGTATTCAAGCATAAAACTCTGCCTCGCCACAAAAACATCTCATGTTTCTCTACACCCTAAATCACAACTGACAAATAACGGCGACAGATGGAAGTGAGATAACTCAGATAGATGGAGTTAAGTACTTCATCCTAATTTAGCACAATACAGAAAAATGTATAAGATAATATAACAAGAGATGAACTACAACCTCAAATCACAATTAACAAACATAAAGATAGCAACACAAAGATTTCGTTTAACGTTCAATCATCGAGAACCAAAGAAAACGAGTTAAAAAACAACTCTGTTATGCATAACAAGTGTTCAAGCAAAATATGAAAATAAACAAAAATCAAGTTCTTCTCCCCAAAAATAGGTATCCTAAAGACTAAAACCGTACACTCTCACATCTGTTTCAAACAACCTCCAGAATTCATACGTAATGAGGAACGGATGATAAAAGAGTCGCCATATTTAGTCTCCCTTCTTCCTAAAAGAACAACCTTCGGTGAGCCTAGCTTTGCCTCCAGTGGGCTGGCAGAGCACAGTCTGGCAGTTACCACACACAACAACAGTCTGCGAGTGGCTAAAAACAGTTGTTCTGCATTGGCAAACAAAGATAACATATCAAGAATACGCCCGAGTATTTTTCAGCATCTTAGGCTTAATCAAACATGGATTCATAAATTAATCACTCCCATTGCTCAAAATTCATCAAAATTTTCCAACAAAATTAAAATGTATGGAACCCACTTAAGAGCTTATAAACTTCTGCTATAAAATCACTAGAATTTGCAGTATATTAGTTTTGATCAAACATGGAGTAAGACATTTCCTATCTTTAAGCTCCCACTTCATTGACATAGAGCGGACGGCTCTTAAATACCCTGTTGTTTCACGATTAGCACTTAAATACCCTAAGTTGAAAAGTGCCGCACTTCAATACCCCAAATTGTCCAAATCTGGCACATTAATACCTTCTGTTAGTTAGATGAGAAAATATTCTACTTAACCTTCTCCTGTTCTGATCACAATTCATTTCTAATTAGTTTTTTGACCTTGTTTATTGTTGTATCTACTTCTCTATCACTGGGGAGTTCATTTCAACGGAGGGACATTTTGGTCCTAACCTAACAGGATAATTTTAACACCATTTACAAAAATTCTAGCAGCGGACAACTTAGGGTATTTGAAGTGTCATGTTTTTCAAGTTAGGGTATGTAAGCGCAAATTTAGGGAAACGATATAGTATTTAAGTGCCATTTAGCCTTGACATCATCCTATAAACTGAAAAAATATTGAACCCGCTTACGTTTATAACTTTCACAAGTTAAAATTTGTATCACATAATAATTCGCTACTCCAGAAAGTAACATATGTCCTATGCGATTTACTAAAAGCTTAAAAGCTGGACAGATAAATGTTTAAAAAAACGTGCTTTTAACTAAATTTGATCGTTAATTTGCATACATAACTCCATATTACATAATAAGGTAAAATATACGGATTCCAACCGCATTACTGTTAATCAACAAGGAACAAAACAGAAATGACATTCCAATTTAACCTTTTTTTTAATTTCTAATGGCAAAACAAACTTCAAGGTACTAAAAGATCCCATCTTTTTCCACTCTCTGAAACTTAACAGATCAAAAAATGGGCAGACGTAGATAGAACTTACATGTTGAAGCAACCTTGGCATTTCACATCCTGCGAACAAACAAGATTACCAATTAACATTACAAAAAAAATGCAATTAAAACTGCAGCAAAAAAAATGGAGAAAAGGGTAGAATAAAAACCATGAAGAAAGAGTTGGGAGATTGAACAAGCCTCTTGAGCTTATGCCTCCTCTTCTCAAGTTCAGCTGGCGGATTCAAGAGATCGATATCGTTCGGGAGCACCTAAAATTTTACAAAATTCCATAAGTTAATCGATGATTTAAGATCAAAGTAATAGTTTTTCGAGTAGAGAGGGATAAAAAGATACCATCTTGATGAAACCCTAGAAGCACAATGAGCCTCTCGAAACGCCAGGGATTTCGGGAGCGGCTGATGAGAGAGCGCTTGAACCCTAGAAGCGGTTTATATCCAAGGCAGATGGACATCTCGTAACCGTTAGATGATGTTGGGATTAATTTCAACTGTTGGATGGAGATTTAAGATTCCAGACATGTCGAGTAGGCTCGAAAAGTACTAAAAGAGCCCACGTCATTCCGCTCCATTATTCGTTGGTGTAATTTGGTGTAATTTGGGGTAAATTGTTCTGATGGGGTAATTTTACCCAATGGGATAATTGAGTGAGATAAAGTGGGGTAAAATGGGGTAATGGGACAATTTGAGTGGGACAATTTTAGTATATCTTTTTATAATATTATATTTATAGCTCAATTAAATTCAAGTTTAACTTGATATAACATCAAATGATTAAATAAATAATAGTTATAATATAAAACAATATTAATTTTTAAGATTATTTTAATATAAAATATTACAAATAATATAATAATATTAATATTAATCAATCTTAAAATATTTTGATGTTTATTTTAACTATTATGCTAATGAAAATCCTAGGAGGAATTCCTATAGATGAACCACATTATATGGTAATTTTTTTTGAGTTTGTTTATTGTATTTTATTTTAATTTTAAAAAAAATTATAATTGATAGTTGCACTTTGCTCCTTTGTTGTAGAATGGTGGCTGTGATATATTGGAGTAGTTTCATCCTCCATTGTGTAGCTTGGCTTCTCAATTATTCCCACTTCTTAGAGATGAACTGTTAGATTAACAAATTTTTTAATTGTAATAATTATTTAATCATTCATACATCTAATTACAATGATGATGATAAAGTCTCAAATTATTCCATCACTACAAGTAATTCCATCACTATCCAAAGAACACAGAACATGTATAATGACAAAAACATACCAAGATAATAGTCATTAATAAAAGTCCAAAAACATATAAGTCCAAAAGCATACAAGTCTAAAAACATACAAGTAACAACATGTATGTGCTTAACATCTATGTTCCCAAAAGCATAGAACTAACAACATCTATGTTCCCAAAAGCATAGAACTGACAACATCTATGTTCCCAAAAGCATATAACATAATAGTCATATAACAACCATATCCAAATTAAGCTACGCAGTGCATACAGCTTATCGATCAAAAAAATAGTCGAATCACCAAGATAGTCGAATCACCAAGATGTGATCTTCAATAGCCTCAAACACGATCCGATCGTCACAAAACCAAAATGTTTAATCCAAACACAGTTAATTTACTACATTGTAAACTTTGGTCAAAAAAAAAATATGCTACTGGCATCTTGCAGCAGCCTCCCATAGCCTAGTATCCTTTCTTTTTATTGTTCAAGAAATATTAAAGTACACCCCCAAAATAATTGAGAAATATCAAAAACACCAAATGCTTGAAATTTGGCTCTCTATAACAAGCTAATGCCGCAGAACCTTCAGCCTCAGATTGATACACAAAAAGGAATTTTCTGTTGCTAACATAAAGTCATAGTCATCTACATCATCATAATGACCAGCAGCAACATCATCATCGGGCTTATCCACATGAAGTTGCTTCTTCTTTCCACCTGTGCAACTCAAACAATAATCATCATCGGGCTTATCATCACCGGGCTTATCCACACGAGCTCAAGGCGGAGAGAGGAGGCGGAGGAGGCGGCCGACGAGCAAGAACTCGGCGCCGCTCGAACTCGAGGCGGAGAGTCGAGGTTGGAATGGGGGCATCGGGTCGCTGGGTTTTTTGGTTCCAGCGGAAGATTTGGGGCAAAATTTGGGGCTAGGGCTGAGCATTCATTTTATAGTTGGGATAATTTGAGGAAGAGTGGAGTATTTGTCTCACAATTACCTCAACAAACCAATAACACTACAAATATTACCCTAGTTCCAATTACCCCAATGAATAACACTAGACATTGGTGTTCCAAAAATTATCTCATTATCCCAACAATTACTCCAATGAATAACCTCCCTTATTGTTTTTTTTTATAAAGATAAAGAAAAATTCCTCAAGGACCCAAAATGTGAGACCAATAGGGGGGACAAGTGAGGTGTCTCCCTCCTATTGGATAATGAGTTGGCCATCATTAATTAATCCTCTCGTCTGTGCTGAATCCAACCGCTGATTGTTTAATTAATGATGGGTTAATTGCATATTGGTCTCTTAACTTATCTTTAATGGCCAAATAGGCCCTCACATTTTCACTATTTGTTTATTAGTCCGTTAAATCTTCAGTTTTCTTATCAATTCGTCCATCGTGTTAAGTGGTGTTATTAATAACCGTTAAATGTGACGGAATTAGGTAGAATGTCTGTTATATCCCCGCATATACTAACTCAAACACACATTTTTTCTTCTTCAAAGGTACTATGCTCCCCCGGAACCTAAAATTGAGGCCATTCCCATGGCTAGCTTCCCTCTAACCCAAAACTTGGAAGGAAAATGTATACCCTAGGGGCCCTAAGGTAACTTGAGTTGTTGGGTTGAGTATTTAACTCAACTAGAATTAGAGAAGTTAACAGGCTTTCTAACAGAATGACCATATGGCGAGAAAACTAAATATCTAAGGGACTAGTAAGTAAATAATGAGATTTGATGAATTATTTGGCAATTAGAGATGATTTAAGGGACCAATATGCAATTCCCCCATTAATGATTGTAATTCAAGTTCTTGATTGTAAAATAGTAATAAATGAAATTCATAGGGCTATATAAGCATTATATGGAAGAACGGCATACAATCATCCGTTAGATAATCAACAATTCAAATAGAAAGTAATGGTCTATTCGTTACTACAATAAGTAAATAATGAGATTTGATGAATTATTTGGCAATTAGAGATGATTTAAGGGACCAATATGCAATTCCCCCATTAATGATTGTAATTCAAGTTCTTGATTGTAAAATAGTAATAAATGAAATTCATAGGGCTATATAAGCATTATATGGAAGAACGGCATACAATCATCCGTTAGATAATCAACAATTCAAATAGAAAGTAATGGTCTATTCGTTACTACAATTTTCCTTTTTTTAATTCTATTTAAAATTTAAATTATACAAAAAATTAATAAATAATAATAATTTTCTTAATCACTTAAAATAACATAAATTATAAATAAAAAATTATAAAAATATATTCTTTATTAATAATTAATAAATTATTTATAAATTACAAGTATAAATTTATTTTGGAATTCATCGCATCATAATAGATAAGTACATCCCAACTAGGTTGGCACCTACTCATCTATATCACTATCATTTGTAACTATTTTCAATATAATTCTTTACAAATTTTAAGCTAAGATATAAAAATTACAATTTGATGAATATTATTTATTCTTTATATCTCTCTGCTAGTCCCAATTCTTCAAATTTATCTTCAATTCCAGCCAACCAATCTTATAAGCACATCACCGTTTGTACAGTATACGGATCTAAGCATGTCCTGTGATCGTCGATCAAACGTCCTGCTGTGCTGAAGGCGGATTCCGAAGCTACCGTTGAAACATGCACTGTTAGTAAATCACGAACCATGGTGGAAAGTATAGGATATGAAACTGATCCATATACTTTCCACCATTGCAAAATATCTAAAGCATTTCCTTGACATCTAACTAAAGAAGCAGAAAAATATTCATCTATTTCAGAAACCTCCGATGATGACGATCCAAGTCCAGATCCACCAGTTAGCTCAGCTACCATTGCATACCTATCAAAACTTACACTTTTACCTCGGGCTCGGGATGAACTCGAAGAAACCGAAGCTGCAGACTGTTATGCAGCTACACCATGTCTAGCTGCATACTCATCATATAAGGTTTGAAAATAATTTCTAATAGCTAAATAATGAGTAGTAGCAGTAAGGGTGGATCCATCATCTAAGTCTATAATCTGTCCACCATACAATGATTGTAACAAACTTCGAAGGCCAATATCCTTCAAGCATGGATCAATAAGAACACCAATACCAAAAATATGAGGAATAGGCCTAAAATACTTATTAAATTTACTCTCCATTTCAAAAATTATACTTCCAAAAATATCATCCATACGATATTTTGCAAAAAAATTTTGAATATTTAAAATTTGTAAAGCAGCTAAAGTAATAGTTGGATAATAACAACCAGATAATAACATAGTAGCATCATAAAAAACTTGTAACATCTCATTTAATTTACATATAACTGTCCATTCATCTTCAGTTATTCCATAAGCACTACCAGAGCTAGAACTAGAAGCATAAAAATTTATAAAATCATTTATAATTTCTTTATATTCTATTGCTACAGATAACATTGCATAGGTGGAATTCCACCTATGGTCAACATCTTTTGGAATTAGTCTAGGCTTATAATTTTTTCTTTTACAACATTGTTTCCATCTTTTAATTCTCATTTCAGAAGCATTATGCATATTAGTAACTGTTCTAACTTTTTCTATCATGGGTTTAATTTCAGAAAATGCACTTTGAACAATTAAATTTAAAATATGACAGATACATCTAACATGAAAAAGCTCACCATGACATGGCAATGACAAAGTTATTTTCAGAAAATCAACAGCTACATTATTATTACTTGCATTATCTAGTGAAAGAGTAAATATTCTTTGATCAATTTCTAGTTTCATAAGTTCTTCAACAATTAAATTTGCAACATTAATACCAGTGTGTGACTCTTCAATTGCAATAAAAGAAACAACTCTTTTAAACATTTTCCAACTTTCATCAATCCAGTGTGCTGTTATACATAAATAACCAGTTTGCACTCTAGATGACCAAATATCAGAAGTTAAAGAAAATTTGCAGTTTAAATTTTTAAAATAAGAAATTATTTTTCCCTGTTCCTCAACATAATATTTTAAAATATCACGTTGACAGGTTTGACGAGAAAATTTTGTAAATGCAGGATAAAAACCATCTCTAAATAAATCTTCAAATTCATCATCTTCTACTAATTTAAAAGGAAGGTTTTTAAGAACAATAAACCTGATTACGCATTTCCGGGCTCGGGCAGCGTCATAATTCCAACTGCCGAGGGTACCTGA